CATCATAAGGTTCAGTAGAATCGTACCCGGCCACGTGGAGCTCGGTAAACCCAACTGATCAGTGGTTACACAATATCTGCCGTACCCGGCCGACTATAGCGCGACTCGGTAGAGTAAAATAGATACATATACATAGTGCATGCTCAACTCATGGAATCACATTCTAAACCTTTTGGAGTGACTTAAGAACATTATGGACATCCCTACCATCAATATGAACCTTAGTAGAATTTATGGATCATACACACTTGTTTAGAATAATTTTATAAGGAAAGAACAGCATGGACAACCTTAGTTGCTAGGAGTAGATCCGTTATGAAGTAGAGTATTCATTTCACTTTAGATCATGTCAAAAGAAAGAAGAAAGTGCATTAACATACCTTAAACCCATTGAGTCCTTAATCACTTCCAAGCAACTCTTCAAACAAGTCAACTCAATCTATCATAGTATAAGGAGATTCAAAATCAGTGCTGAGCAAAGGCTAAGTCTATAACTTAAGCTAGTAGCTCGTTTACGTAAATTTTGGCAGCATCTCCCTTGTAACAAGGGCCTCCTCCAATACCATATACAAACAACAATGACCAGAGCAATCCATCAATACATAATTATCAATATCAAGACACCATATAACAACAACAAGTCACAACTACATTACGACGAGCGGGAAGGTCCGATTGGAATCCGTATACCCCTTATCAATCCTTATAGACTTCTTACTTCAACATAACAGTATCATTAACTTGATAATGAAGTCATTAATCAATGATTCCAGCCTTATACCATATATTTATAACAACGAAAATAATCCACAACTTCAACTATCCCCAACTAGCAACTCTATTCACTAGTTCATGTCTAGCCCATCCATTTAACTTAATCAATATCAAGATAACCTTAGGCACAAGCAAGAACACAATATACATACCTCCTACAGTAACTTCAAGTCAAAATCCAAGTTATATTCATTTTACAACAACCCTTAATAGCAATACAACACCATAGAAGTGACTTAAGCTAATCCAGGTATTATCTTGTAGTTTATCATCCTAACAACTTAACCAACATACAAGAAAGCTTAAGCACAATTAGGTGTTGTTCTTCACTAGAACTAAGTTTTGATGTTGAAATATGGTGTAATCGCTTTGGAATCACTTAAAACCCTTGTGGTATATGTTTAGGAGGGTTAGGAGAAGTTGGAGACGAATATTAGTTGAAAAACGAGCAAAAATAGGCGTCCAAATCATTTATAAATTGAAGTAGGTCAACCACCGCCTAAGTGGGTCCCATTGGGAGCTGCATGCGCGGTCTCGCGAAAACACGAATATCTCTCTACTCCGATGTCGTATTGACGAACGGTTTAATGAATTAAAAACTAGACTCGTAGATCTTCAATTTGGTTGGTAGAACACCCTATGATTCCAAGTATATTTGGTTAAATTCTTAGATACATTTGACCTAAATTTCAGCAAATTTATGAATGTAACTTGTGATGACCTTTGCCAACTCTTGTTCCACAACTTGCTTGCCTTCAAAATGTAGAAAATGATTATCATACGACTAAAATAAATTATAGAATAACCTCCTTATCATGTTAATAACCATAGTTTCACCCCAAAGTATATGTTATAATATTCTAAACTTGTCGACTTTTGACGAAACTTATTTTCTTCAATTGGTTTAGCTTCTAAGATTTCCAACCCTCTTGGTACTCGTTATTCATGATCTTAAATATTTGTAACCTCCAAGGTAACATGATTAACTTACTTTATTTTCTTCCAAATATAATCTCATTTCCGAGCTTACATCAATGACTTACGACGTACTCTCACGTATGAAAACTTGGGGTGTAACACCAAGCTTATCTACATTCATTAGTATGCAATAACAGGCTAAAAGGGCTATGAGTATCACCATACTAGATTACATTGTTTTTTAAAAAAAATTGTTTGAATTCAAGGGTATTAATGACATACAAACACAAAACCATACAACGTTCAGTTTAACTTCAATCCCAAACTAATCTTAAGAACAATGATAAGAAAATCAAGACCTCAATTAAACATTTTAACACACCACATCAACAAAACATGGCGAGATTGACATTAAACAACCATGGTTTTAAGTATAAAGTCCAATTAGCACAACTGAAAGCCATGAGGCCTCCGGCCAAACCCATAACAGAGCCAAGCCCTGCAGTAGCGATCATGTGAGCTATTGGATTGGAGAAGCAGGCCTAAACAACACATGGTAAGGTAACTCCCCACTTTGTAAACATCCTTAAGTCCAGGCCCAAAGAGCCTAAACCTTGCAAAGCTAAGGCTGAGGAACAACACTCAATATCGAGCCCGATAGACATTCAACAATACACAGCAGGAATTCAATTTCAAGACAACTCACAAATACACTATGAAATCTAATCTAAACTAGGCTATTTTCTCAATACCACAAGTATCAGAACCCATGATGTTCAAATATCAATCACTTGAATCCAAAATCACACCCAAACTCTTAAATTGATTCATTTTACAACATATGAAGGACATGAGAAAGCCAAAATACATGTCTAGTATTAGATTGACTACAGAATACTAGAATAATAGAAGAAACATAAGGAATAGAAGTCAAATTCAACTTTGTATTCAATCAGGTTTCAACTCGCAACACATGTTCACATTCACTTGTTGTGCATAGTTTGAAGAATACCTAATTGCAAATAAAAACAAAGAGTTAACATCAGCAGAATATCAGCAACACCAACACAAACTGAACAACCAAGAGATTCGGTCCTTTCAAGCCATTCTTAGCCCAAAATGAATCAAAGATTACTTCAAACTTTAAAACCCAAAGAATTACACAAAAAGCTTCAATGTAACAGTATTTTGTGATTTGTATTTGTATTTTTTTCTGATTCTACAAACTTTTTCAATGTTTGTATTTTTCATCCGTTTCTAATTTCTAGGGTCTGAACTCCCTTTGAAAATTTAGGAAATGGGACCTTTATAGAGGGGTTTTAGGGCAGCAGTGGTTAGTTTCCAAACTTAGCATTTACCCCTTCCCCAAATTCCCTCTATTCACTTCAGACCGCAATTTAAAATTTGCTTTGCAAACCAATCCATTCGCCCACTTTCCTAGAAGATTCTCAATCAGTTATAGTAAGATTCCATTGGCCAACTTCCCTAAACTACCCTTTAAATTTTTGTTATTTACCCTCCCAACCTAAACCAACTATGGGTCAGGCCGACCCAAACAAACTAGGGTTGTTGTTGGGACGGGTCAAAAATAAACCAAAGGCCCAAGACTCCACCCAGCCCATGAGTATTCTAAAACTCAAAAATCTGACCCAAATAAATTAACATTCAAATTATGGCCCCAAAAGAACTAAATCAATTTTAATACTAACTAGTGAAAACAAACCGAACAAAAATTATCCAAGATTAACTCATGGCGACTGCTTATACAAATTTACTGATTAAAGATGGAAATAAAGAGAAAAGAAAGAGAAAAAGAAAGAATGAATATGGAGGAGAAACAAAAGCTGGGAAAACATGGACAAGGAATACCTAGGGTTGGAGACAAACAGGATTGAAAGCTTGTCCGGCAACTTCCGATTTGACCCAAAATTGGTATCAATCACATGTTCTCTTTGAGAACAAACGAACAATAGTAGTTTCAGGCCTAATCGTTCATAGAACTTGAAGACTTGAAAGATCTCCTTTTCTTTGTTTTAGATCTGAAACTGACCCGATTTGGTGAGGACCTGGGGAGAAGAGGTTGTGGATTGGGACTCAGGGATGAACGGTGGTTGTGTGGTTGGATTTTGGTGGTGGTTTGAGCTCCGCCGCTGGCCGGAGATGGAGAAGACATTCATGGAGGCAGGTCTAGGTTTAGAGATGGGGAGATGAAGTGGAAGGGGTATTTGGGAACTGACTTGTCTCTGGGGAATTTGGACAGTCTTAAGCAAAAATGGAGAAGTATTTTAGGCCGTTGGATGAAACGAGATGAAAGGCCAGGATTTGTTAAAGCTTATTGAACTCAAAGAGACGCAGTTCTATTCCCACACTACATCGTTTGTAGGTTCCTGGGGCTGAAAGCTTTGGGCCGGGGATAGGCGTGGCTCGGACGGGTTTAATGGGTATTGTATGGGCTGTAACAATGATCTTGTCCCAATTTTCGCAAGACAAGTCAATTTTCCAACTCTTTTATTATTAAAATTCTTTTCTTTCAACCAAATTAATTTAACACTTAAATTAACTCTTAAACTAAAATGACTTACCAAATTAAACTAATCACTCAACACAATATTTTCAATAATTAAATAAATCCTAAATTAATGAAAATTCAAAATTTAAAGTTAAAAAGTTAAAAATACAAAATGAGTCATTTTTGGTGATTTTAATCATTTTTTATAAGACCACTAAATTGCTAATTAACCTAAAAATATAAAATTAAATCTTAAATGCAAATGTAATGTATTTTTGTATTTTCATGAATTAAGCAAAATTAAACATGCACAAAGAAATGCAAACAATTAACAAAATGCCACAAAAATCTACGAAATTGCCAATAATGGGAAAAATTTATTTTTCTTGAATTTATGGGAGTTATTCACATAGGGAAAAAATTACGTGCTCACACCTAATCACCTTCTTTCCCTCATAATATGAATTTGGCACATTTGCTCCATCAGGCAATAACTCATCCTTCAACATTTTTAATAACATTATAAATGACTCATTGCTCTAACGACCCATACCTTTTATATGAAGCAGTTTAATCAAAGTGGAAAGCTTTGAACATTTCGAATTTTGGTATAGTGGTTGTTTGAAATCTTTCAATGAGCTGTAAACCTTTTTGGTTTCAACGTTCGGTTCATCTCCGAGTAAATCATTATCACGAACGTCCGGAGTTCCTTCATCATTATTAGGATATAAATCCCTCAGCATTTCATGTATTTCATCCTCATCCTCATAATCTTCTACTTCATTATCATCATCAACTTCGCCTTCCGACTGTGTCTCACCCAAAACTTCACCATGATGATACCAAAAGGTATAATTTCGAATTATTCCATATACTTTCAAATGTATCTCGACTGTCTCACGTGTTCCTAATTTTGTGCTACAACATTTGACGCACGGACAACGTATTTCAGACAATTCTCCTGTTCTTCTAAAGGCATAATCCAAAAACTTTTGCACTCCAATTAAATAGGTATCGTCAAATCGGTTATCAACAAGTTGCATCCATTGCTTACTTGTTGACATAACCTTAAATAGGAAATAAAAAAAGGTTTTAACTAATTAAAGTAACAAAAGAATGTTATGAATGTTGTAAAAAGAATGCACTTTCAAAATTAAGTAGTTATATACACGTATTACTAATACACATATCCTTACTCCAAATTATATTCATTATTAAAAGGTACACATGTTCCTGCATAAGATTTTCAGATATTTGCTAAAACCGTTTGGTACCGAAAGAAATGGCAGATTCTTGGACCTTAAAAATGGTAGTTCTACAAGAACATCTTTTCGGGATTAAAAGATATTGTTTGGACATCTAGAAAAAAACCTCTGAAGAAAAAGGTGTCTTTTCTCTTGTAATCAACACAAGTTTGTTTTAGGAAATAGAAACTATTGACTTTTCACTTCGCTGAAGGTCAACAAATTGCTATTAGGATCGAGGAGATTACAGGGGATTTGTCGGTGACTAATGATAGACAAAAAGGAGTTGATGATAAGGTAACTTCAGGTGATTTGAATCGAGCAAACAATGCTAGTAAGCAACAAGGAGTTACACTAGTGGCTCAAGAAGGTAACAGTGATCGAGCTGTTGTCGATCGAGTGGCGCATGCTGTAATGCCTGAAGCAATTGTTTCTATCAGTGGTGACATTACTACTATAGCGCCAAACTCATGACCCTTCAAACAAGTCCCCAGAAGAATTGTAACACAAATTGCAAAGAAGAAAACCATCGCAGAGACGAAACTCTACATGAAAAAACTAAAATTTCTCCTCCTTGACCTACAAGCCCCATATTTAAACCGATATTCTCACTTTTATCACTCACACAACAACTATCACTATTCTAAACAACCCAATTGCAGAAAACAACAAAAAAAATAGAAAATTACAGAACCCGATTTTTGATTTCTGGTTTAATTGAAAAAAAAACAAAAAGAAGAAAAAAGGAACTAAAACAGATAAAAGAGGAAGAAATTAATCTTTCTCTTGATTAGGCAGATAATCCAATGGTAGAGACACCAACCTTCTTATTTTGAAGTGATGAATTTTGCAATCTTCTGAGTTTGAAGTGATGAATTTTGCAACCTTCGAGTTCTGAATGATGAAGTTTGCAACCTTCTGAACTTTGAAGAGATGAAGTCGCGCTTGATTAGGGACTGAAATTTGAAGAGAGTTGAAGTCGCCGCTTGATTAGGGATTGTAGCGTGAAATTAATTTTTTGGGAGAGATTTTAGGGTGAAAACTAAATTTCTGGAGGGATTTTACATTGAAAAAATATTTTTGGAGGTTTTTTTACTTTACTTTCACATTCCCGTCTCTATCCCACTAAAATTGAGTATTAGAGACCAGATATTAAATTTTTCTTTTAGACCAGAATAAGTTTAGTCGTGTATTTAAAAAACAAATTTGGTATTAGAGACCAAAAAAAATCTCATCCCTCTAACTACACTTTTAGAGACCATATTTAAAAATTGTCGCTAAATACTGGTCCCTAATAAGCCTTTTTCTTGTAGTGTTGGGAGCTTCCCCCTCTTTCCTGGCATCGATCCTCGTCTTCTTTGAGTCAGGCCTCGACGAGCCCAGAGTCCGTGAACTCGGCTGTGGCTTCCTGTCTTTGGGGTCTCGGGGCATCTTTGCGAAATGACTTGAGACCGAGAAATCAAGTCCTCTGATTTTTCCGCATACTAGTTCTACGTCCGGCTAAATACACAAATCTTCATAGTTCAAACCATCAATCCCTTTACCCCCTTTGACACCTTGATCTCGACTAGTAAGCTTCTTGAGTTCTTCTGCCATGTTCTTCATGAGTAGGTCCTTTTCGATGGATATGAATAGGGTTTGTTGGGGAGTGTGGGGAAAGGTTTCCACATATATGGGGTTACTTTGATGGACTCCAGTGATTTGGGCGTAATGGTGATCATTGGTTGAGTTTGGAGGATCGGGGATAGATTATGGTGCGTTCTGAGGAGTGTGATAGGTAGTGGTTTGTGAATACTGGGTTGGCTGATGATGATGTTGTGGAGGAGTCAGTACTGGTAGAGGATTGGGATTTTGAGGTGGTACGACATATTGGTGAGGTGCAGGAGGATTTTGTGGATGCTGGTTTTGTGTATTTTAGGGAGGTGTTGGGTTTTTGGTGTTGACGTTGTAAAGGTAAGGGAAAGTTTTTCCATGTTTTGGACCTGCTCTAGTTCCCTTTGTAACTCCAGTATCTTTTCTTCCAGCCATAAACCAAGTCATTTTGTGATAGAGTGCTTTGTCCATCTGAAGTTTCGACATTCTCTTCATGTATAGCATTATCTTTCCTGATACTACTTGTATCATCCATTTTGGCCTTTCCTTTGCTTTTAGGATCGTTTTGAGGAGGAGGAGGTGGAGAACCTCATGATATGGTATGATATGCTAATGATGCCAACATGCACAAACCAACATTAGGAGATGGGAATAAAAAAGAAAAAAAAGAAAACAAAAGGTTAACAAGTTAGTGAGGAGTATTAAAAGGTTGTCTGCGTTATTAAAATGCATATTGCGGAATTATAAATTTGTGTCCTAATTTGGGGACCTCATTGTGCCCAAGGTAGGCCTAAACGACATATATATTTGGAGAAAAATGATGCAAAATAACTGTGTTATTTCATTAATATGATAAATAAACCGAATCTTTACTAAAACGACAATAATGATAAAGCGTCACTAAGTGGCATGTGCCTTCTAACAACCAAAACCTAAAACAAGTCTAGAAAGCAAGTAAAACATAATTCCTAATCTACTTGGTCCCAGAAAGACCTTCTCCGTGCTTGGACTTCTTTGCTCCATCGATCAAGTTTCCAGGTCGCACATGTCCAGCAGCAGATACGCCCTTGCTAGGAGACCTCCTTCATTTCCATCCATGTTTTGACAGCCTATAACCCGGCTTCACATCTTCCCTTCCAGTTCCATCAATCCATGCTCTAAATACTCTAACTTCTCCATTGATTTAGTAGCGAATTCTCTCCATTCATTTATTGCTTCTATGTCCGCTTTATGTTGTTCCAAATGACTGGCCTCATATTTAAAAATTCTTTTGCGTAACCTCCTATATTTGACATGGGCCTCTGCAGTGTCGTCTATGACCCTATTTCCCAAATCAATTCCTGGCTTGACTTATTCTGCTATGTCATCGACCAACCATGAAGGATAAAAGTGCACATGGCCAGCATGGTATTGATCTGGCTCGATGGTAACCTTTTCCACCATGACCTTTATATGACACATGTGTTGTGCCTCATACTTGAATGGAATAGCATCACCTTGGAAATTTGCTTTGTAGTGAACCATCTTGGAGACTCGGGGTATAACTTGTTTCCTCCCAGCTTGCCTCATGACTCTGATAGGGGCATAAGGATAAATACCCCTTAATCCAATTAGCAGTAGATGAGGAAAATCTCTTGACCTGATGATGAACTCGCTAGTAGAGAACCATTCAAACATCTAATGGACTTTGTTATCGGTCAAATTGCTAAAAGGTGTACACATTCCATAGCGTTTCCTGGCTGTGCAAACTGTCCGGGATAAAAGTCATTTTTTTTATGGTGAAAAGCTATGAAGAGTAAGCTGACTCCATGGTATATAGGGTCATACAAAATTCTTCGGTGAAATGGACAGGTTGCTTATGAGTTAGAATTGCCATCCGAATTTGAATTTGTCCATCCAATATTCCATATAGCTATAATGAGGAAATGTATTGGAGACCCTTCTCGATTCGTACCTTTCAAAGATCTACAAGTTACAGAGGATCTCTCATATGAAGAAGTGCTAGTGGCTATATTAAATCGACAAGTCCACAAGCTGAGAACAAAGGATGTAGCTTCCGTCAAAGTATTGTGGAGGAACAAGAATATGGAAGAAATGACATGGAATTAGAAGAGGAGATGAAGTCTAAATACCCTTACCCTCCAGATTGAAGATAATGAGGATGTTCGGGGGATGAAGGACGCATTAGATGGTGAAACGGATCTACGAGGTAAGCAATAGCTTAAAATACTCTTCCTGAATACAAAATGGTGATATTCAGATAATGTACATATCCATAATGCTTTGTATAACCTTGTGAGGCCATACGTTTGGTTTAACTACTTGCAAGTTTGGCTAGTGTCCATTTTATAGGGGAAACTCGGCCGGAAATTTCCATCGGAATCCACAACGAGTTAGACTCCCTATAAACCCTTACATTCGAGGGCGAATGTTCCTAAGGGGGAAGGGTGTTGTTGCACCCCATATTTTTGTACGTGGATTTTCGTACAAAAATACAACATAAGTGTTGTTGCACCCCATATATTTCTCGCATTTTCGTACGTTAAAGTTTCGCCATAAGTTATTCGACATAAGCTCGGGAATGAGATTATTTTTGAGGTTATAAGTATTATACTATTTATAAAGTGAAAGGTTAAACATATCAAAAAATGAGTTTCGTTGAAGATTGTCAATTTGAGATAAAATATGGTCTAAGCTATAATACTCGGTATTTATGGACCAGTGCCATACAAGATACCACATGACCATGATAGTGAGGTGTATAAATTGTGTTTTAAGAGAGTAGTATTTTAAGTAATTTAAGATAATTCTTAATTATGTGGATAATTAGGTAATTAATAATTTTTGGTAGAAGATTAGTTAATTAATTATAAAATTTTGGATAAGTTAAAAACTCTTTAATGTGGCAGCCCAAGAAAGTCTTAATCAAGACCCATGCAAATATTAAGGTTCATTACAATAGGTGTCCTAATTAGAGCCTTTAGGCAAGGTTAGTCATCCTATGTGGGGCCACCTAAAGGTTAAAAAAAACTCTCTAATTCATTAAAGAGAGGTATCATACTTATTTGCAATTTCATATTACATTACTACTTAATAAAATAGCAAAGCGAGGTATCATTCAAAGAGATATATCATTCTGGCAACATAATTGTTTCAACATTTCATACGAAGACTAGATAATACTATAACAACGTGGGATTTGTGATTCTAAGGGAGTACGGTGAAATCTTTATCAAAAATATCATACGAATTTTCCCCTACTTTGATTCGACATTACGTGATTTGCCTCAATTGACGTGTGTTAGAAGGATTGTCAAGAGAATCGGCTCAGGTATGTTAAGGCTATCCCTTCTTCCTTTTTGGCATGATTCATATGATATAAACTAAATGAGCAAATTCACAAATTTCATAAATAACTCTATTCATAGAAATACAAGAGATGCATATGTTCTTGATTCACCATGCGTCCTATTATTCTATCATCTATTCATGGATCTCAGAAAATACGTAAGTTGATAAAGTTTATTTCATGATATTAATCAAAGGCATAATTGCCTCATGACATTCCAAAAGTTTTTATTGGCATACTTCTCATGAATTGCATTTATTATACATATACATTGACCCATCACCAGATGGCGTTTTATATCGGCGTATGTTCGCACCACCACCTGATCAGCTGGTATACGTTGATAATTTGCCCACTATGGCCGAGATGATATGATGGGATGCCCTTAGAAGCTTGACGATGTTATGCACATATATACCTATGCATGGTATGATATTTTTACGCATATGCATGACATTTTAAATATTAAATGATTCATAGAGCTACTCATACTTACATGTCCAGTCCTATACTCTATGTTTCTCTCATGACTTTTATTTACTGATTTTTGTTCCTTACATTCTTGGTACATTATTTGTACTAACTTCTCTTTGCCTGGGGATGTTGCATTTCATGCTTTCAGGTCTCGATAGACAGGTTGAAAGTCATCCAAGTAGGCTATCAGCTCAGTAGAAGGTGTGGTGCGCTCCATTTGCTCCGAAGTTGCTTGTTTGGTCAGTATGCTTTGGACATATATTGATTGGTATGTCGGGGCCCAGTCTCGGCGTTATGACGTTTATGTAATCTTTGAGGCTTGTAGACATATGTCATGTATAATAAAGATTGTATGGCTTTATCGGCCTATGTTCAATGTACGAGTGATCATTTTGGCCTTATAGGCTCGTACGTTGTATGCATAAGTTTCTATGTCAAGTTGGGTCGTTCTATGTCAAGTTTTCCCACATGTTTATTTTGGTTATCTCATGATAGCCTTTCCGGATCATTTACCTATGATAGTATGAT